TCCTTTGCATCACAATATGCTTGCAAGTGCCACCAACGAGAATGTTAATTGCATTAATCACTTCTCTCTTGAAATGGATCCAAATGTCCATCAGATGTTCAGGTGTGGACTTGTTCAAACATTTGTTTTCGTACGAAACGAGCGTTCATTAAAAGGTGTTCCCTTTTGAAAGACAAATGGGTATTTGTACATAGTCTGTAATGTTCTGAGAAAAAAAAATCATTAACCCTCTCGTGCTTTACTCATTTGCGATCCGGACTTCTTGACTTCATTTTTAGTTGCGAAACATCTCAACTGTTCTGAGCCTCATTCTACGACCAGGAGTAAAAGGCCGCCTTCGGAAATTAAAAGAGGTCTTAGCGGGACTCAAACTCGTATCACGTTGGCATGGGAAACCTGGCAAAAAGTATCAGCTGCCAATCGAGCTATTATGATTCTTACAGCCTGCATAATTTGAAATCTCAGGAGATAAAGTTACATTAATTTTCCCGGATCGATACTCTTTTGGACATTGGTGCCATAAATATGTAATAGTAATAATACTTACAGTACGAAGAAATAAAATATATATATATATATATATATATATATATATATATATATATATATATATAGCATAAACCCAGGGTCACAAACTCAGATCAATCCAACTAAATATGTTTAAAATCTATCACTGATATTGAGCGCCTTTCAATAAGTACCGTGCATATATAGTACATAAATAATATATATATATAATTACACACACACACACACACACATACATACAGACATATATATATATATATATATGCACACACACATAAAATAATATATATATATATATATATATATATATATATATATATATATATATATATATATATATATATAAAATCTATCGTAAGGAAATAGCATCTATCGTAAACCCACCTTTACGGGACTTTATTTGAATTGGCGTTCATTTGCTCCTGCATCAAGGAAAATTAATCTTGTTAAAACCTTGGTGTATAGAACGCTTAAAATTGTGTTCTCCTATTAGATTGGACCGTGAATTTGGGAACATTAGGGAGATTTTCCTTAGTAACGGCTATCCGGAGGCCCTTATTGTCTATATTATTAGTAAGAAGACTAAGGAATTTCATTCCCCTAAAATCCAGGGGCCTTCTAAATGTCCGGTTTATTTGAAGATTCCCTGGATTGGGGATGGGGATAGGGGTCAGGGCTTAATTAAGCAGGTTAGCAAGTCGGTTTCGGTTGTTTCCCATCAGTTGCTTTACGTAGCATTTTTCAAACTAGGCCTGCGTTTCCGTCTTTTCGCAAGGATGTATTGCCCTACATCAAAATTGAGTAATTTAGTATATGAATTTAATTGCCAGTGTGC